GAGTCCGCTCTTCTCAGCTGAGGGGTGGAGTTTCCTTATTGATTATAGAAGTTTGTATACGAATTTCGGTGGAAATGTGGGAGAATAAATTCCTCGAAATTTTCATATTCTCCCCCACACTGTAGTTGCTTTTGATCAGTTCCGCGAGCCGAACCCGTTTTTCAGCAGTTGTTTGTTTTTGTGTTGTTCACAGCGTAGCATGAAAATCAACGAAAATGTTCGTTTGGAAGGCCGCAGATGCATTTTAGTGCCGTACACGCGGAAGATGGTAAGTGAAGGACATTGAAAAATTGAAAAATTGAAAAAATTGGAGAATTGGAAAATTGAAAAATTGGAAAATTGAAAAATTGAAAAATTGAAAAATTGAAGAATTTAATTGAAAAAGTTGAGTAACGCCTTTGGTTGCAGTGTTGGGGTAGGAATATGTGTTGGCTTTCCTCAGGAGTTGCATCACTAATCATAGAAGTTTATAAACGAATGAGGGTAGAAGTGTTCAGAAACCAACAAGAATTTCCTCAAAATTTTCAATGAAAATTTATGCCAACACATGTAGTTGACCCTGTGCATATCTGTCTCCTATACTGTCAGGTTGATACGTATCACTCGTGGATGGCGAATTCGGAGGAATTACGGGAGGAAACTGAAAGCGAGTTATTGACACCTGAAGAAGAGTGAGTTTGGAGTTCCACCTGTGATATGAAAAACACTAGTGAAAAACGATTGGGAATATTTTCAATTCACCTCGAATTCGCCGAGTTTTACGTGGAACGGGTGAAACTCCAGTGGAATCATCTTTATGTGAGCTCATTCACCGGATATTTGAAAACACTAGTGAGAAAATATATTTTCGCAAAGACGCGTGTAAGCAGTGAATCATCCCCAGAAGTGTTGTGCGTATCGGTATTGTGATTTCTTGGCAGTGGACACATGATTAACTCAATGAGTTCGACATAGCTTCACCATGATGTGCCCTTTTATAGATATGAAATGCAAACCGCGTGGTATGAAGATGTTGATAAAATTATATTCATCGTTCTGGATAAGTCTCGAAAGGCTGACCCAAGCCTTGGGGAAATCGCTGCTGGTATGTCGTCGCTGAAGAAGGGGACGTATTAAGGATCGTTGGTGATCTTGAGGAGTGTATTGTCTGTTGTTGGCCGACCGAGACGGTGTAGAGGAACTAAGGAAAAATGGAGATGATGATGATTGAATTCCGTCGAAAGTTCAGTTTTGAGGAAGATTCGGAGAAGTATGATTTTAGTGCTGAGAAAAGGTATATAACTGACTCGTTCTGAACAGTGTTGTTGGAGTAGGAATATATGTAATCGCTTTCCTCACCTGAGCTCAGGAGTTTCCTATACAGTGTTGGAGTAGGAATATATGTAATCGCTTTCCTCACCTGAGCTCAGGAGTTTCCTATACAGTGTTGGAGTAGGAGTATATGTAATCGCTTTCCTCAGCACCTGAGCTCAGGAGTTTCCTATACAGTGTTGGAGTAGGAATATATGTAATCGCTTCCCTCAGCTGAGCTCAGGAGTTTCCTATACAGTGTTGGAGTAGGAATATATGCTCTCTTTCCTCAGCTGAGTTTGGGAATTTCTTCACTAAAGAATTGTGCATACGAGTTGGGGTAGAAGTGTACAAAAACCAACAAGAAATTCCCAAAATTCCTTCAGAAATTTCATATTGTCACCAACACATGTAATTTTTCCCGCACTGGTTTTGAATTTTTCTAGGAATATGAAATACTATTCTTTACCACAGAGTTACTACTTGTATCAGGCGGCGCGATGTGCGGCGATGTTGGTTGCTTCCTTTCTGATGATGAAGATGCTAAAACGGGTCAAGTCACTCGAGGTGAATTTGCTGGCTTTAAAACGCTTGGTGACCTTCATTGTTGGGAAATTTGTTCGAAATTTTTCAGCTCGAAAAAAGTAATTTTCGGTATTTTTTTTCAGAAGCGGAAATATCTGTGATGACTGCGGTGGTTGAGAGTAGACGGAAAGGAATTGCGAGGGAAGCGGTGAGATTGATGGAAGAATATTGTCGAGAAGAACTTGGCATAAAACGGTGAGTAAAAATTCCCTGAACGATGTGGTGTATATATTTCAGTGTTGGAGTAGGAATATATGTAATCGCTTTCCTCACCTGAGCTCAGGAGTTTCCTATACAGTGTTGGAGTAGGAATATATGTAATCGCTTTCCTCACCTGAGCTCAGGAGTTTCCTATACAGTGTTGGAGTAGGAATATATGTAATCGCTTTCCTCACCTGA